TTCAAAAATCACCCAAAACATGCCGAAAAACATGCCAAACACTATATTTTGATGAGAAATATGCAGAGAAGATAAATAGTTTTTTAAAGAATGTAATAAAAATTTGTAAACATCTGACCAAATTTGTTTTGAAAAAAAATGTTTTTCTTTCTAAAAAATGTTTCAAAGCATTTCATTTTGATGAGAAACATGTAGAGAAGATCCAATTTTGAATTTTCTTCTTCAAAGATTTTCATCAAAATTAAAAAAAAAAAATTCTACTTTTTTAAAAAATATGTTTTTTATAAATTTTTCAACATCTGACTAGTTTTTTTCCAAAAAATTTCAATTTTGAATTTTCTTGTAATTATAATTTAAATCTTGAATTTTTTTATCTTTAATCTATTATAAATCACACCGAGGTTGAACTTTTTTTTTTTTTTTTTTTTCTTCATTGGTTTTTATGTATTTGTACAATGTATGTTCTGATAACATCTATTGCACGTCTGTCCGTCCAGGGAGTGGATCCGTCACCTGTGGTTCTCCCTAAGGTTTCTACCTCTCTCTTTTCTCCCTGTTGAAAGGGTTTCTCTTTCGGTAGTTTTTCCTTACCCTGGCTGACGGTCTAAGGACAGAGGATGTTACCAACCCTGTGAAGCCCCATGTGACAAACTGTATTTTGTAAATGTGGGCTATATAAATAAAATTTGATTTGATTTGATTTGATACTGATTCAAAAATATCCAAAGAGAAAAAAATCCACTGAATACGTACTACATTTTGGAAAATATAGCTTAAAAAAGGTAACATTAGGAGTACAATTTTACCACAAAAGTAAAACTCTGACATTAAGACAAAAAACAAAACATACGATACAGTGTTTGGCCGTGAAGTTGATTGCAGTCTCAGTCAGACATGTATAATTAAGACCTCATGCTTAATTCATCATTTGCCCAGAGTTTGATTCACAGTGAACCGTTGAACACAGGTCGATGTAGTTTCAAAAGGAAGTAAAACTAGATAATCCCCTAACTCTGACCCTAAATCCTCCCTGTTAAAATCAGACTAAACAAAAAGAATGATTATACACCTTTAAAAAATTTATAATAATAAAAATAATATCAGTAAGACATCACAGTGCTCTACATTTCAGCTTTATAACGTGTACTTCTTGCTGGAGCGATCTGCCATCACTAATATTGTCTCTTTGTCGGGGATCTGATAGTGACCTCTACAGTTGTCGGAGACACTTTCATTTCCTCTCCGGGCGGATATGAAGTATCCTGACAGACAGTGGCAGCTGTAGACCTCCAAAATAAATAAATTAACAAAATCAACTAGAGCTGAAATGATAAAAAACCAGGAAACAACTTGGTGACAACGATCCACCTGTTACCTGAGAAGAGGCTTCTTTGTAAACTAATCCAGAAACACTAGGTCAGCAAGGAGGGGTGGAGGTTTTTAGCCTCTGCTTCACTGGTTTCACAAAACACAATCCCGGCTTTTAACAAAAATATTTATTATTATTTTTAAATTACATATACCTCCCGCGATCACAACATTGAAACGATACAATTACTGACATTAGGAACTATCAGTTTCCAGACAAAAAATATATATATTTCTTGTCAATAACATTTTAATAGACAAAATACGACTATATTGATTTGTTGTTTTGTTTCTTTTACTCATGAAACAAAATATATATCAACATATCTAAGTTGCTATTGTGCCTTTTGTCTCAAGTCAACTGGAAATATTTCCTGGGTTTCCCTGGACCCATAACAGGCCAGACCGGTTTAAGATTAATGAATACAACGTTATATAATCTGATTGATTTTTAGTGTGTTTTTTACAGTACACGCTGTACACACACTGTTTCAAATTTTTATTATTCGATGAACAACATAATTTATTTCCTCTAGTGATTTGTTTTTCAGAAAGCCTTTAATAAGCCTGATAATTTGTCTTCTTGATCCAAGTGTTGTGAAGCTGCACTGATGGCAGCTTATTGATGACAGTTAATTTTCTTTCCAGCACTAAGGTCAACTGTTCGGAGCCTAAACCACATCCTTGATCTTTTTTTTTTTTTTCTTTGACGAGTTTGCATTCACGACTTGACTGATGACTAATGTAGGACACTGCACTCAAAACAGTAGCCATACAATCTAATGTAGTCTAAGCTGGTTTCTTAATAGTTAACAATGTTTTAACCCATATCTAACAGGGCTGGGAATGCGTCTGAAATAACTTTCAGAAAATGTAGGGTACTCAATTTTAATGTACATTTTTTATAGGTCAATTCCTATAAAAAAATTTTTTTTTTCAACATTCAGTCTGGTCTTACAGTGACACAACGATAGGAAAACAAATGATATTGTCACAGTGAGACACAAAACACTGACACAACAATGAAGTTCACTAAGTACAGCAGTTCGAATGACATCTATGCAAGATCTTCAGTTACATACAGTAACACATCATTTTTATCACCTTAAACTTGTACAGTATTTCATGGAAATAAAGTCACACGTATGTGTATATATATATATATACATATATATACACACATACACATATACATATATACACACTTTATACAGTATGTATATATGTATATGGAATACAAGCTGCAGCTTTATTTCTGTGAAATACTGTGGACATGAGAAGCTGACACTAAGAAAAATGGAAACAGACCCAGCTTCACCGCAGCACGTTACAACTCTAACACCTCAAATGCCGTTTTTTTGTGCTTCAGTACTGTGGTTTCATTCAACAAAATACTACTTTCAGGAAAACAAAAATGCATGTAGCCTGTGCTTCCCCTATCAAGACTACTGCTGCAAAATGCTTCTAAAAGAGCTTTTTTATATATCATTCCTTCAAAGCTTTGCTTTTCTCAACCAAAGATGGCCAAACAATATACCCCTCCAGCACCAAGAGACCCTTGTGGTCAACTTATCGACGTACTAGCAAAGAGAGAACGTCATGGGTTATGGCTCTCAGCTGTCATTTTCACTACAGTCATATTAAAGTACTGTATCTACTGTTGGGTCATTTGTTGTTAAGCGGAATGCAAAAAGAGAAAGTTATAACGGACTAAACTATTACAGGGAGAATTTTGGAGTTGTTTATATTGTATATGCTGTGCCTCTGTTTTCAAAGCAGGTATTATGATTGACCTCTCTAGTTGATGCACCTAGAATAAATAGTAGGACAACAAGTAAATACTAACATCCTAAAAAAATGGTTCAAAAACATGTAAATGATTGAATGCCAGAACTTGCAAGAGCTTCCTTATGAGTTAGCCTTATGTACATGATATATATGTATATATATATATATATATATATATACACACACACACACACACACACACACACACACCAAACACTGTAAATAAGGAGGTCATGCTGGTTGTGGTTATGTTTTCATGTGAATGTTCATCTATGATTTAGATTTTTTTTCCTGTTTTATGAGTTTTGTGCTTTATCACCTATTTTCTAAAATATAAGGAATACAATTCTCAAAAACTGACATCTTCTACTGAAAACGACCTGAAACTGGTCCTTGACACCACAATCCTTTCAATCAAGTATTTCCTGTCACTATAAACTAAGTAAGAAATCTACTTCCTGCAGCTTTGTAACCACCTATACAGTCAGATGTCCACACTGTGGTCTTCTATTCTATGGTGTAGACCAGTTGTACAGCTTGCTGATTGAATTAAGATTTCATTTTAAAAAATAACTAGAGCGGACATAAACAAAATTGAGTCCAAATTTTAAGCCTTTCCTTTGTCTTGCGTGTCCATCTTTAGTCTGACGTCTCACGCTGTTTCTTCTCCTCGGGAACCGACATTAAGATCTTCTGACAGAACACGGTGAAGATTTCTGAGGAGAAACAACTCATTCTGTCAGCCAGATCTGTTTTCTTTAGCTGCAGTCGGTTACTACTAGTGTTGACATACTTTACTGAACATTATTAAATACTTCAGACCACGTTCAACACCCAGACCTGTATAAATAAACTGCCAGTATCAGTGGCTACTGCTGCTCTCGCACAGATGTTCTTACACGAACGAACCAGAGAATGCTGGGACTTGACAAACAGAAAAGAGCTGAAAAAAAAAACCACTTACCCAGCATCTTCTTGACCACATCGGGTTTCTTCCACTTGTAGCCCAGTAGGTAGGCTGGGATACCTGTGAGAATGATGCCGCAGCCAATCAGGGTCTCGATTGGAGCTGCCCAGAAAGAGACGACGATCATGAAGATGCAGCCCAGAACGAAAACAATAGGGATGAATAAAAACACCTGCGGAGATTAAAAACAAAAATAAAAAACAGGTAAGTTACAGTTAAAATATAATAAAAAAAGGTCTTCCCTTTTTTTTAAATAATAAAGAAATAAAAAAAATAAATGAACAAGAGCTGGAATGTTTTCATAAAAAAAACAATCAGAATCAGCCAGCTGGATCTGCACTCCTCAGACTACTGCATGGCCTAAATAACTAAGAACAGTCACAGACAGATTTTCAGATTATTCATGTGGATTAACATAACTGACCCTTCTTAAACTGACTTGTTTGAATGAGGCATAAGAAAGGACTTGTTTGAATGAGACTTTTAAATCAAGCTAATGCCAACATTTATCAAAACAACATAATGTGATTTTTGTGTTGGCAGTTCATCTTCATCTCCCTTGTAGATGGTGGTATAAATGTAACTGATATAGTTACACAAGAAAGAAACATTTAGTTTTGGTTGGGATCAGATTAGGTATCCTCTGAGATCCTCTGTCTGCTCTTGTCCTTTAAGACTGACTCAGCTGTAAACCAGAGCTATTCCTGGACTATCAAGTAATGATGAAATTCTGGAACCTTCTTATCCACCAGTCAGCCCATCATCGGCATACAACCTTCTCTTGTCTACAATATGAAGTGCTGCTTTTCATTTCCTGTTTTGTCAGGTCATCCATCTAACTGATATGTGTATTACTGATTTTAAAAACATAATTTTGGATCTGCTAGGTGTTTTTTTCTTGGCTTCAGGTCATTTTCTACAACTTCCTGGAACTTAACTAAAGGCAGAATCCACATTCCTGTTTGCTTGTTAGTCAGTTTTACTTACATTTTGTCCCAAGAATCCCATCAGCATGGATCCTAACCTCTAACCTTTTGTATCTACTACATCTCACCCAGTCAAGAGTTTGTGTCACTGGAGAGATAAAAATAAGTGATGGAACAGTTCTGACAGAAGCTAAATTTAGAGATAAAAAACTGACAACTGTCTGAATGGTTTAGCCGAGCAGAAGAAAGTGTTGCTTGTTTCTGGTCAGACATTCATCTATAATTGCAGACCGAGAGCTTTCTGATTCAAAGGAAGGATCAAAGAATCTGTCATCTAAAGTAATAATCCCGTGATGAAACAGAAGCAAATAAACACGTATGTGTATCATAATAATCCCACTTATACACTCAGAGAACAGTGGGGCTCCAGAGAGAGGAGATTAAAGAAAATAGCTGTAGTTCACCAGTATAAAAAGCTTTTTGGAACTGTGCGACATCTTTCCAGTTGAGGTTTAAGCACAAGTCATGGCTGTAGCTTCAATGTAGCTACAATTCTGTAGCTTTTAGATCCAGTACATATACAGAAATATATTATGTCAGACATGGGTGTAATACCTTAATTGGCCTGCGGAGTTTGGGTTTTCTGATGCGCAGCCAGATCATACCACTTATAGCCATTCCAACACAGAGCCAGGTGAAGAAGCTGAAGAGATTGATGACGGAGAAGATGTCCTTGGAGATGGCGTACATCATGGAGAGCAAACACTGATTAAAAAAAAGACAAACAAATTAAAAAATTAAAAATGAAATTCTGCTTAATTGATACAAGTTGAACTAATGTGAACATATTTCTATGGTTTCTGGCTTCATCAAAGATTGACGTACCAAAAAAAAAAAAAAACCATAAAAATTGACATGGCTACATATTTCAAAGCAAATTAGTGCAGTTTTACTCATTTTTGAGAAACTTTTATTTTTGAAGACTTTTTCAGGTGCTTATTAGTATAGCGTTATACTGTGATCAAAAGATGGTGTACCAAAAAGGTTCTTTTTTATTTTAACCCTACAAATGGACATTGCTAGTGTCAGTGCATAATGTCATAGGAACCTTTATCTAAAGCAAATATAACATATTTGTTTTTCAGACAGGTTTTCAAGATCATGAAACCATCTGTAATTTAGGTAACTGCAGCAAATCCTCAGACAGCAGTGAGACAACTATTTGTGGGTTTTTTTGTCTGGCACTCAAGCCATGAAAACTAAAAGTCAGTGCTGGAGTCTTACTGTGAAGATGAGGGACGGCACTGGAGTGAAGAGGTCTTTGTGAACCAGACCCAGAGCAGCAGGAAGTTGACCTTCTCGAGCTCCAGCATAGAACAAGCTGCAGAGAAGAAAACTCTTCCCTGGTTAGTTTTTAGTGACATGGAAGGTTTGTAAAAGAGAAGAGCCGGAACAATCCTTTTTGGTCACTTCTATAATGTTAAGTTTCCATTCTGCCCACATGTTTGGAAATGTTTCTCAAAAACTCTGCTTTCAGTCAAGGTCAGAACATGTTTTTTTCCCCAGAGAAAAAGTCTGGTGTCTGGGAAATGGGTTTCTGGGGCAGTTTATTTTTGGTGTATTTTCATCAAATCTTGTGACATCATTTTCTATATCTTTAGTAAAGTAAATCAAGAAAAACAAGTAAGTAATCTGAGACATTTCTGTGCGACAATGATACAGTAGGTGTTAGTATTGTAACTCAAAGGATGATGAGCTGCAATTAAAGCTTAAATTAAATTAAATCCTACATAATAAATTAAAGAATGGCCAGTGAACTCTGCGCAACAAGATTTGCATAACTGATCAGAGAGTAATTTAAAAAAAAGTAAAGTTATTGCATTTTTACAGTCGTATTGTTCCACAGAAAAACAGAGGTCAATGGAACAGTAAAGCCTTCTTTGAGCCACAACATCCCTTCAGGAAATGACTGCTCCAGGGCCTCATTCTACTGTAATTCCCAAAGGACTAACATTATTGTTTGCTTTGCTTTGTTGTTACATAGGGCGTGACAACCAAATTTAAGGTAGATTTGCATGAATAGGAAGAGGCTAATGTAATCAGAAAACAAGTCATTTGTTCACTTCAATGAACATTGCTAAATTTCATCCAGTGCCAGTGTCAATATTTAGCTGTTTGTACTGGATATAACTTTTCATGTTAGCCTTCCTGACTGGCTGGCTGGCTGGCTGGCTGGACAGACGGACAGACAGACAACACTTACCGTGCTGAGGTGAAGAGGGAGCCGTTGACAGCTCCAAAGCATGACAATCCCACAAAGACAGGAATCAGCCAGGACATCACACCGAGGTGGTACTCTCCAAAATTCTGCGAAAGCAGCACAGTGTCATTCGTGCATGATTTCTAAAGGCGGCTTAGCTTGTTAAAAAAAATATAATAAACTGAATCGTCACCAACACAACGCTGTGACAGAAGCTTAAATGCTCACCACAGCGACAGCCTCAGACTCCACCATAGCTTCAGGAGAGATGGTGGTGAAGTAGGCCAAGTTGGTCAGAACGTAGACCACAGTCACGATGGGCATAGATATGATGATGGACAAGGGCAGGTTTCTAGAGAGGTCAAAGGTTACATAAAGAAGATAATTCACAGTAATATCAGTGTTCTTTCTTTGTTTAGTATGCATTTCCAGTGCATTGATAAGTGATTCAAGTGTTTTCATGCAAATCAGGTTGTCCAGTTTATTTGTGTGTATTTATGTGATTAGTTGTGCAAAGTATTTATTCATGCACGTCTTTAACTGTATACGTATAGTATAGTATAGTATATGAATCTTATGAATCTTTGTAATTTCTAAAGCATATTGGTAGTACAATACATTCAAAGCTCCCAACATTATATTAATGTTGATTCTTTTCTTTTGTAACTGATATTAGTAGGTGAGGGTCCTGTCCTGCTGCATACTGTATGTCCATGCAGTTAACAGTTAAACAAAGTCAGGCAGGGATGGAAAATTAGTAAGGGCAAATTACGTATAACTGTCAACACAACCTTCATCACATCTACTGTAAGTCACCTCTCTGGATTGATCATCTCCTCAGTTACATAGTTTAAGTAGTTCCTAGAAAAAGAAAAAGAAAACTGTTAGTATTAAACGTCTGGTCTGTTTCATATTAGGAATAATCATAAATTGCTCTCACCAGCCTCCAAAAGCAAAGAGGCCACTGTACAAAGCCAAGACAATGTTGTCGACCCCATATTTGCTGCCTTCAAATGCCTGATCAGGTGTGAGATAGGGTACATTTCCTGCACACAAACAAAAATTTTCAAAATTAGTCAAGTGAATGTATATGCATAAAATGTAGTTTATCCCTCTTTTAGTCAGAATTCCACTTATTACCACTTATTACGTGAACCTTCACCTCAAGGTATGAGTTTCTCCTTGATCTACTGAAAACTTTTCACATCTCTGAATACAACATCAGAACAGATTGAGATCCAATCATAAAAACAGAAGGCTCTTATTTTAAAAGACAATTTCTGAACACAACAGCTTCATTAAAAACTTTTCACAGAGAAATAAAATTGGTAAAAATCCCAACATTCCAAAATGTACAAGGTTTAAACCAGTCTTAGTAAAGTATCAGCTTTTCTGTTTTGGCAAATCTCTTAAGCCTCCTCCAGACTTGGTTGTTTTCTGGCTAGGACCCTGGTCTTCAGTTTGTTGGAGAAGGCAAAAGACTTACTCAGATCTTCTGGATTGAGAAGCTCACCAAAACCATTGAAGCGATCAACATTTACTGTGTATATTTACTGTAATAGACCAGGCCTCCCTGTTCTTGGATTGAGTTACATACCGGTATGTATTAAATATAGTTTTAGAACACACATTCCACATAAAACATGTATAGTGATGTTTTTTCAATATGTTGTAAACAAATATATTACAGTCTAAATAACTTGGTCCTGTTTTTTTTTTAGTCTCAGTTTGTTAAGTGCATTTTTACTGAATCTATACTGCAATGTACATTTTTGATTTTATTTACATACATTTATATTTATTTTTGATTTTTCATGTTTTACGTGTTTCATTAAAAAAAATGAATTTCTCCATAATGAGCCAGTCCTAATTCCTGTACATGTCTGTGTAGGGGTGAGAAATGGGGGGTGGGGAGGGGAGGGGGCGTCTCCCTCAGTTCTACCTGTGGCTTTCAGATGGTAATGACTTTCCTGAGGTCTGTTGCACATGCACTTTTTCTCCTCTCAGTCTTTCAGAGAGGCCACTGTGTGACAACAGCCGACAGGCCTCACCACCTAGTCTCCATGGAAACGCTGTGTGAGCACTATTGCCTTGGACATGGCTTTAGACGGAAGAAGAGGGGGAGTAGAAGAAGGAGGGGGAGATGAGCAGATGCAGCATGGAGCATGTGATGGCGACTCCCGCCTACAGAAACCAACCTGTTGTCTTTTACAACATGTGATTACATTTTCACAAACAAAGTGTTTCTGTTACTGTCCAACCAATCCAATTAAATGTGCTTATTTATTTACCCTACACCTGCACTGACCCACTCTCGCCCGGCTGCACACATTGGTTCAGACTCAGCAGCATGGACACAGACAGACGGACCTTGTGTTCACAGTCAATAGCTGTGCCAACGTACTGAAATGAGGGCAGTGCGCTCCGTTGGGTTTATCCTTGTTAGTTAACAATTTCCAAATCATTAAGGGCAAAAAACATTCTCTCTGTTTCAATGCCAACATATGGCAAAGAGCTGCAGAACACGATGAGGTTTATTTTCAAAATATTGCAACAAAACACCTTTTATTTTTTGGCTAAAGCTGTGAAACAATATTTAAGAAAAAATCGAATTAATCACAGGGTCGCTGCAGATTAATCACAATTAATCATGAATCAGGAACTTTTTATCCAGGTGCAACTCAATGTCACACATATGTCATATATAAGAAAAACACAATTTTCTTACCTTTTGTATTTGTCTAAATATGCCATCTTGTGCTTTTGCATTTGGTTTGATAAATCAACTTGTATTCTGTTATGCATTAATTGATATTAAAAATAATCCAGTTCCTATTTCACCTGTATTTTAAGTATAGACCTAATAGTAATAATAAACATAATAATGATTATTATGCTTGTTATCATCCTTATTATTCATGGTAGTAGTAGTATAAGAAGAGTTGACTGGTTAATAATAAAAATAAACAAGATCATTTTCATGAAATTAGATATTTATATATTATATTCTTCCTTATAAGTGTAAATTTATTTTTCTATTTTAATTTTATGTTTTTAAAGCACAACTAGAATAACTATTCTCAACGTCTCAAAAGAGAACTCACCTCTAAAGATCTGTATGAAGCCGAACAGGATGATAATGACCAGGGCCAGCAGCTTTGAAGCCGTGAACAAGTCCTGGACTTTGGTGGCTGCTTTCACACTAATACAGTTTATAAATGTCAGCAACACTGTAATGGAAGAGATACACAAGACAGAGAACAATTTCAGTAAAATGATGGCTTGTTAAGGTATGTTTGTAACTTATTAACCCCAGCAGAACTATGACTCACTGAGACACAGGCATGCCAGAAGCTTGGCAGCACTTTCAGGAACAGAGCACGTTGGGTAAATAGGTTTCAGCAGGTAGGTGGCGAACACCAGGGACACCACATACTGCGAGGATGGCCGAATAATGAGCATCTCTATCCACAGTTTGAGAAAGGCCGCCAGTTCACCATAAATCTCCAAAATGTAAGTATAGTCGCCTCCAGACTTGGTGATGGTAGTGCCCAGCTCAGCGTAGCACAAGGCACCCATGGTCGACACCAATCCACAGACGGACCAAATAATCAGAGAGAGTCCAGCTGAGCCTGTCTCTTTCACAACCCCTGTGGGAGTGACAAAGATCCCCGAGCCGATGATGGTGCCTATGATCATTCCCACACCATTGAAGAGGGTGATGCTGCGTTTGAGTTCCACTTTATCCCCTGATGAGTCGTCCCCCGGGGGAGATGGACATGCTTGAGGGTCCGCGGTAAGACTATCCTGTTCTGTGTTTGCATCTGCTGCTGCACAGATGTAAACAAGAAGAACAACAATTAGGAGGTGGACAAATGTTCTACTTAGTTCCCTGTGTGCCATCTATATCAGCTCTCGGGCAAGTCGTGTTTAGGAACTGGTCTCACTGGCTCTTCAGGCAGACTGTGAAAACGGGTTCCTCAGGGCTGACAGCTTTCTCTGAGAACTTTTAAATTCAGTAATACACCGTGGCTACTTAATATAAACAGAGAGAAAGGCTGGACTTCAACAGTTTCTTTATGTTCATATCAGACACAACGTGAGCCGGGTGTACATCCGGAATTATTGCATCATGGCACATGGTGGTTCATTACCATGTGGTTTTCTCAAATGTGTGTGAGTGCGAGTGTGCGTGCACTGTACTTACCTGCTATCTTCTCCTGACTCGCAGCCTTGGCAACGCTCTCTCGACTGCTCCGTGATTTCAGCTCCGGCTCAGCCATCTTCCCGCTCGGTCTCGGTGCTCTTGTTTCCACCTGCCTCTTTATGACTGTCTCTATGTCGCCTTCCTCTTGGTATCTCTCACGCTCTCTGTCTTCCTATTAACGCACGCATACACTCGCGGCCCTGCTCTCACTACTCCCCTCCCTTCCTCTTACATGAACACACACTCTTTAGCACATATACACATGCTGCTTTTGTTCTTCTGACTACAATTTACCTCACGCTGATCCTCTCTTCCTCTGCGTGCGCTTCTTTCTACCTCCAGTCCCTCCCTCCTGTGTCTCCAGGATACAGTAGGGCGTGCCCCAACCTTTGTGATGCTGTCGCTGTTTGGGGCTACACCTACAACAAAAGGATGATGGGGCAGCTTGGAGGAGGGGTGGGGGGGGGGGGGGGGGGGGGGGGGGTCAGGGGTTAGGTTTGCAGCAGGCACCATTTGTAGAATCCTCCATGTGACGCTATAATCTTTTTCTGCAGTGGACTAATCCAGTGGACTACAGCGTGTGCGTCAGAGAGGATACTGCGAGGCTTCTGCACCCTCTAGTGGCGTCAGTTGGGGATTACAGGAATCTTTCTTCCTCCATTGTCATACAGACATTTGACACCGCACGCGGATGGCAGAACCGGTGTCTCTATTCAATCCGAAATAAAGACGAAGCATCACCTTACCCCATTCACACCCCTTAACTTCTATCACGTGAGATGAAGCCATGACAAGTGATGTCCTGCTTTTTGACCTGCTGACAGAGACACTGTAAATCAACATTACATTTAGCAATGATTAAGGTATATTTGATTAAGGTATATTTGTTGTGTATTTAGACAATAAATACATAGCTATAACAAATTACTAATAATAACCTACATAATAATGATAATTATAATAAACAAATTGAAACATCTGTCCCTAAAATCTGGCCGCATTTCGAACCACAAGATGGCGCGTTATAGGCATTTTAAATCTATATCTATATTCAAGATTGAATTATATTTAAAAATATCTTTATCAAGTTACCCGTGTGCTTAACAAAATGTATATTTAAAAAGATTCAATTCTTCATTCTTTACTTTTTATTTATCAGGTTTTCTATTAAAATGTTCTGTCTAAAACTTACACTAACTTAAAATGTGATGCGATACGTTAGTGCGCAAATTTTAAATAAATGTGCATCCTAAAGTTGAAAGCATAGTTGACTGTCTGTTTTTATTTTTGTTTTTTGCAGCAACAAAACAGAATCGCAAACATTAAAAGCAAAATAAGAATAAAGTAAAAACTATTAAATTGTACTACGTCAAGGCGACAAGGAAAACGTGACGATGGTGGTTTAAAGAAACAACGTGATACGTGATACGTTTCAGAACTACAAAAAAGGTGCGTGTTGTGGTTATATATATTTAAAAAGTCACTAAAAATGCATTCGGAGAATGAGCCCCGTTCTGTTTCGGCGTAAGTTAACGCGTTACTTGCATACCTATACAGCTGACAAAGTCGACATGCTAACACGCAGCTCTGTTCACATGAACGTCTTGGCTGATTGGTAGTGCAGTGCAGGTCGACGCTGGATTAACCCAGAGCACTTTCTGCCACGAGTCCGGGGACTTTCCCCTGGGCAGGGGAGAGAAACGCGGTTCTCAGCGTGTAGCCCAGAGAGCAAGCCTTCTGAATGCCCGGATGTTAAAACTGTGGACATACGATTTTTAAACCAAGCTAAAATAATCTATATTAAAGTCATGGTGTAGAATTCGACTAATATACGCAATATACAAGCAATATATACAAGCAATAGGAATTTAACAATGTCACCTACCAATTCGCTTTTGTTCTTTTAGAGGCGCTAGTTTTTCAAGTAAAAGCCTAAATGCAGCAAAGGATCATGGGAAATGTTAAAGGCATACTCGCCAAATAAATAGTTGCAGCGAATTTAACACTCGTTCTGTCGTAAAAGAATAAAGGTTGACTATACATTCACCGCTCATGAACACATTTCACACTTGGTTTACTGCGGCACTGTCAATACGCGGGAGTCTCTTAAAACAATGCATTTGTATGTAAGTATTAAATATTACCTTAAATATTACCAATCCCAGACACATTGGGAGTATTTGTTGACATAAACATCTGTTGGCTTTGTTGTGGTGTATAGAAATATTTTATGGCACTGTTATATGGTAGGTGAATGCTGTACTTTACTAATTACACACACAATTTTGCAATACATCACTGCTTTTGGCAACAACAATGACAGATTGGTGGAAATGGAGGTCACACTGCTGCCCACACTGGGTTGTTATTAGTAAGATTTTCATTTTTCCAAGCAGGACTTTGGCTGTCTGCACATCATAGTAAGGAAACTCTTACAATAGATTCTTTGTTGAGACCTAAACATTACTTGGTCTGATGAGTATCAATTATTGTCAAGATATTTTAATTCCGACCCCATAATTTGAATATTATAGGCTCAATATATGGCTAGTTTTTTCTGAAATCTATTGCAATATAACATTATAGTCTAGTTTTGTTATAGTCATTGAAACTCTACCCAGTGATAGTAAAGTGGATTGTCCACTTTAATTTATTGCCAAATCCTTTTTCTCTTAGTTCATAATTTTCCATGTAGTTATTTTATATTCCCTCATTCCTCTCCACTCTTCTCTACTACAGTATATCTCTGTGATCACTCTCTAAACCTAATGCTTTGCTGCAGCATCTCTGTCAATGTCACTCTGTGGGCTGAGTCATTTAAGCCTGCTTTTCTACATCCTCACCTTTCTAACTCATTGTAGTTACATTAGCCTCTCTCTTCACTCTGTTGTGCTCTTGAACCTCTCCATCCCCGACTAAAATTAGAGCTAGAGCTTTTCCGATAATGGTTTACAAAGTAATTACAAAACTATAATATGTTCACCTTTTTCAGTGAACCCAACTGTCTTAATGGTTCTAAGGTGGTTAAGCTTTTTATTCTTTGTTAGTATAAGGATAATTGGAGACCTAATAAAGTGTTATGGCAGCATGAGCCACAAAACTGGGAAGAGCTTTGCTGCAGTTTCTTTTATACATGCCTGCGGTGATGTTCATAGATTTTCTTATCTGAGCTGAAACTCCCAGGATTCCTGGTTATTTATCATCAGACTGAATGTCACTACTTTCAGTACAGACCCAGAACATTAAATTGAAAATGTTTACACAATTTATGAGCTGCTGCCTTCGTCCTCATATATTTATATGCTCTGCTTCTGATATCAATGTGTGGCTGATGAAAGAAGGTGCTGATAGAACAGATCAAATGATGCCTTGTTCCAGAAATACATTTTGTCCCTTGGGCTCTCAGCAATCCTTCCTTGATCAACTGTCACTAAGCTGGCATGGGTAAATGCCAGGTGACAGGCAACTGTATCCATCAAAATAAACACACTTCTTTCTCCTTCCATTTCCTCATTTTTATCTTTCTTGCTTTTGAGCTTATCACACACAGTGTCTATTCAATACCTGTGTGTGTAAGTGTGATACACTGGAGCCAATCAGAAGTTGAGTTTTGCTTCTCTTCACTGTCAACAGCTCTGACAGCTGACCCTGTTTTTCCTCCGACCATGTGTCACTGTCTCTTCACGCTCCAGCTCTCTTCTGCCTTTCCCTTGTTTTTTTTCTGTGTTCCTTAATGAAACATCTTAAACAATTTAAACCAAATGAATTTAATCAAAAATGTAACACAATGCAGCAAATCGAAAGACAGGAGAATGTTTTAAGTTAATGGGTGCCAAATGTGACTGGCCTCCATTTGCGGACAGTCAATCCACTCTGTATTGACAGGGCTGCCTTCGTTTGCACTGACTTCACATTTATTACTGTTTGCTCCGTCAGTCGCTGGAAGACAATTTGCGCTAGGAAACAGCATTCACTGACAGATTCAAGTATGACAGTGTGGTTGAAGAAGACTTGAGCCTACAGTACTGTAGAGGGAAGGATGAAACAAAAACAACAGCAAAAATGGTGAGCAGTTTTACTGGCTTCAACATCATCACTTTTTACTGTTTTTTTAAAGATATAGTCCTTACAGCTGTATGACTCTAGAGTGGGGGTGACTAACTCCCAGTCAGAGGGACACTTCTGGCCTGCAAACCCCCCACATCCAGCCTGCCACTAGATGTCAATAGTAGTTTCAAAGTGTGGCCCTTCAATAAAATGACTGTAGCAGCAATGACCCTCAGCTTTGAGTTTGAGACCCCTGCTCTGGAGTCCCCACCAGCTGTTTCTGTAGAGACAGGAAGTGTGATTATCATCAGCATATAATGTAATCTAATTCCAACAGACTTATGTAAGATATATTGCGTTATTTAAGCCATGGATTAGATTTTCCCAAATACCTGGTGACATATTTTCAGTAGCTAATGCTCAACGTGGTAAAGGAATAATACAACTGCAATAATAGAAGGAGTGCGAGCTGCCAGCTGTAGCTTCCTGAAATGAAAAGAAAAGGAACTAATTATCCTCGATTCACCAGCAGGGAGTCTTTCCATATTTAACTTTATATTTTTAAAACTGACATCTCAGTTTAGTTCTGTTAACTTTTGAAATTTTGTCTTCATTTAACAAGTGCAAAAGTGTCAGGAAACAATGTGAAAGCACAAACAGAGGGACAGAGACAGGATGCTAAACACAGCTGGCAAGAAACCCTGATGGACGGTTATGACAAAGCAGCCTGTCTCATTTGTAAGCCATCTGTTAGAGTGATTAAGGATTACAATATTGGTCAACGCCATAACAGTATGGCACTATTACTCAGTCTTTCTCGATGAAATATATAAATTATGATTGAAAAGCCCACACCCACTTTGTGCACTAATCTGGCTACTCTCTTTGCAACAAACAATTAAAAACAAATTCTAAGAAAACAAGTCTCTGGGGTCACAAGCCAAAAAAAAGGTTGCCTTGTAATTTTGCAGCCTTCACTAAGCTATATGAATAATGGTTTCATATACTATTTATTAAAAATAGGTCAAAGATACAGTGATCAGAATAATTTTACTGCATCTGCAGTACTTTGTTGAAAACCCATTGCATATTTTACAACAAAAGCAACAGTGTCCACATTAAAAAGAGAGCAACTATAAAGTCATCAGTATGTGATAAACTTTATTTCATGCCACATCCACATTACAACTGTATTTTGCATAAAATAAAACACATTTCTTCCTTTCTTCACTAGCTCTCTATATACCATCAAACTGTACAGTCACCTATGTGCTACTGCACCTTATAGTATCTTACAGCTCTACTTATCTACTTTACACACTTTATTCAACCTATCACATAAAACACTTCCTACTAATGTCTGTCCTCAAAATATAAATTTCCACTTACGTGTATAACGGCACCATTAGACTTCTCTCATTTTAACTGTGTGTTTTTATTATTATTAAGTAACAGTACGGGGTAAACTGCACAATGATTTGGTAAATTATCTTATTATCTTTCACTGAGGCCGTACTGCACCTCAGTGCAGGTTAGTGTCCTTAAAACCTGCAGCTTAGCCTAGATTTTCAATAAACAATCTACCATAAACATATCATTTTGTCACAATAAGGTCCATGTTTCTTATTTTTTCTAAAGTGCAAAGGAGCCACATGACATGACTATGGTTTGGATGCAGACCATAATAATGCTTCGATTGACAATTGGTAGCAGAGCTTTGAAAAAGACAACAAAGCACAAAACCACAGAGAAAACAGGGAAATGCAAGCTAACCCTAAAGTTAATAAACGTCAGTAAAACATAATTGTCATTTTTGTGTTCGGAAAAAAGAGCTGTGGACGGTGAAAGTGATTTTGTGGCATCATTCACATATCTACACTAAAATGTACAGTGTGTTGAGTGAAATAAACAGGTATAGAAATAACAAAATCATGCATACTTTTTTTTTCTTGTTACGCCTTGTGCGACTTCAAGAGCAGAAAAAGTGTCAAAGCCTTTACATAAATTATCCCTCTTCATCGTCACGTGATCAAATATTGTAAACACTTTTCTTTATTCCAACTGACTGACTTCTTTATTAAGAAGTTATTTTACTTTACCTTGAAACTTCACCTTGAAACATAGCTTTGCAAAAAAAAAATTAATAATGTCATGGCAAGAGAAGATAGCATAATAGAAATGAAGAAAAAAAGTGAAGAAAAATCATTTTAAAACTGACTCTTTCTCCAATGTTTTGGATTCAGGCTGATTTTCTCTGTCAGTTGTTGTTCATAATCCACCAGGAAGCTGTGGAATGGAAGAAAAGTAATTTGGTATTTTTAAACACAAATAAAGTAAATACTGGCCTTTAAACATGCTCAAAATATAACCACAAGCGCTATACAACATGGTCATTTTTTATATGTGAGTTTTAAAGCAAAGACTGACATAAAAATGCAGCAAAATAGTTCACCTACCTTTATTCATTCTACCTAAAATATGTACTTTTTCACTAGTCTCTCACCACTGATTACGATACATTAAAAACAGCATCTTTGATTGTGAAAAATGCACCAAAAAACCACATACTATATTATGACTTTATAGAAAAAAAATCCCAAATATAAAAATGTCCAAAAATGCCTAAATGCAACAGAATATCCTAAAGTATACATGTAGTACACACTTCATGGAATAAATATTATTTATGATGGTATTTGGAGGTGCAGGTGATAAAAATCCACAAGGCCATGGTGGTCTTTAATCTAAGATACAGTTTATCAGAGAACTCCTGTGAGACTGTGTCTGTGAAACAGCATTAAAGATCCTGTTTCAAGGCTCTGGTGTTTACCTGGCAGGAGCATAGTGGAGACCATCTCTGCCTCTTCCAGTGAGTCAATAATGCAGCGCTGGAAGGTCTTACTGATGGAGGACTGCAAGTAGCTGAGTAAAACCACAGACAGAAAGTATTACAACCATTAACCCGCCACAACCCTGGCATAGGAAACATGGCTGAATTTGTTGGAGTGAAATTCTCAACATGCACCACAAGAGACCCTGTGATCCTACCTCATCCAGGAGAGACGATCCTGCCAAAACTCATACATTATGAAGCACGATCTATCTGGCAGGTTCTGGACCGAAATGCTAGAAATAATTCAAAAGGGAGCGAGGGAATGAGAGAGAAGCAGTTGTTATCTTTCATGTTTGGTGAAAAATGTTTTGAAGTGGCTGCTTTAAATCACGGGCGCCCTGAGGCGTTCAAAGGCAGCCAGGCAGTGAAAGGGAACATACTGCAGGTTGTTTAGCTGGCTGCCGGTGGCATCTGTGTAGATTTTGAGAGCTTGTTGAAACTGCTCGACATCTCTCTCCTTCACAGACATCTGCCTCTGAACCAGAAGAATGTTCTAGAGAGTGAGGAGGAACACAAAGACTGAATGCATCTTTTCAATAATAATGCTACATTCCCAACACACTGGAAATGACACACAGACTTCTTTTTTTTTTTAATATTTAGACGGAATAAACTCACCGACTTGTAGGTTCCTGCTAACGTGTCCTCTTTTAGAGGTTCAAGTTGTGGCCTCTGAAAAAAAGAGGGAAAAGTATTTCAGTTAACCTAGAACCACAACACCAAATATTAGCTTTTCATGGCCTTTTTGACAGCAATATAAAACATTAGCCAGCTAGCATGTTTCTTATACCCTTGTATATATATGATATATATATATATATATATATATATATAGGAAAATCCCCATAATTTTCCATCAAACTGTCAAACCTAAGTGTATTCTGATACTTAATCTATTACATTCAGTGTGTGCCGTACAAGCAGTTTTTCACTATGTACAAGTCACTTTTCTCTCACAGGCTTGATCTCGTACCTCAGGGCAAACACCAAACAAACACAGCCTGCTTGTCACTTCAGGCTACAACATCTGAGTCTCTGAAGTCAAGACAAAAGATCTTCTCTGGTGAAAATAAGCTTCTGCCTTCAACCTTGTTTCAAACACCAAGATTCTGTTCATACCTCACATTCCAGTTTGTCTACGAGATGCTCCAGTTGGTTGATCTGGGAGCCCCAGTGGTTGTCTGGCTCCACGCTAACCCCTGCATTTCCAGTTTAACAAAAAAATAATTAGTTCTACTTCAAATGTAATTATTAAAGTGTTTCCTGCTGTCTACCTGTGGTGAGCATGCCAGAATAAGGGTCAGTTGGAGAAAGACACATGTTCTTCTGGATGCGCCGACCAGGACGTTTGGTCACCCTCTGAACCGGCAGCTCCAAAGGCTTTGTTATCCTCCTTCCTGTGCAGCCCTGGTCATGAACTGCCTCCATAGCGCAGTCCAGTGATGACTGCAGGGACTGGAGCTGACTGGTG